AATAAGATATCATCCTTCTTTATTTGATCGACTTCTTCGATCTTATTACAAAACGCATAAGTAGAAGTGCTATCTATAGTGTGTATTTCTAATCTTGGCTGTTCTTTATCGGACTTTGCTGTTGTTTCTTTTATTTCCTTGTTCTCCTTTGAGTTTCTAAGGACAACCGATGTCTCTTCTTCTAATTTATCCTCATAAATTTTGATGGTTGGTTCCTCCTTATTATAAAAGTCTTCTTCATAAATTTTGAAAGGCTCCGATTGCATAGGTATAAACGGTTTAGCTTTGACATACTTCTCATCTTTGTAGATCTCCTGCTAAAAAAGAAAAACAGAAGAAATTCAATAACACATGTGAATTTCTGACACTTAACTTTCTGCTGTAAATCATTTAGCAATAATAAATGTTCAATGCAATACCTGACTCTCCTCGAAAAATAATCAACTAAGGCAAGTATTTTAATTCATAATATACAAACTTTTACAGAGTAAAAGTAAAAAAAAACTTATCTTACATGCTAAATTAAATTGTAATAGGTAAAGAGAAGCTAACTTAAAATCTACGATCGCAGCGGAGAGATTTCCACCAGAGGAAAATAATTATGAAGACTGCAACTAATAAATCTCTCTCTCTCTCTCTATTAATCTATAATATTAATTTCAATTCATAACCGCATCGAGATGGATTCTTTCAAGAATCCAGCGAAGGCGCGAACGGCATGTCAGAAACGTGGTTCGCGACGTCTATCGCGGTTTCGAGGAGAGCAAAGTGAGAGAGACGAGAAATGGATTTACGTACAGGTTTCGTCCCGTTCCGAGGGCAATTGGTGTGCAGGACTCCGAGGACGGCGCGTTTCGACTGGTGCAACACTTGTGTTTGTGTGCTCACGGCAGCGGCGGTGGCGGCGACGAGGTTCTCCTTCCCGCGTCCGCGCAAATCGCCGATAATGCGATTCTCCTGATCCTCCTGGTGTATCCTGATTGCAGCCATTATCGCCGTGACTCACGCGATGATATCCCTCACGCACGAAAGAAATTCAGTCAACGTGTATGGGACCGTGGGACTCCACCGCCGGGACGAGACACCGGGTGACAATAAAAGACTGATAAATAACAATGTGCGCGCGTCCGTCCCGGTTTCTTCGCGTTCCGCGACGAAACGTAGATGCTCCCGGACGACTTTACAACTGGTCAGGCATGACAGGAATTGCAGGAAACTCGGGCGCACTCGGCAACCAACGGGCCACGGTTGCCGTTTGATTTCAAACAAACGTAACTCAACCAGCTGGCCGCTGGCGGGACGTTATCGAGATCGTTGCGCAAAATGGCCAATGGCAAGCGTGGGAAACGTATCGGCCAATCGCAACGTTGCTCATTTGACTGCGCGTTCGCAAACGCGTCCTTTTGCGCGCTCGCGCGTGCGTCGATTTTAAAAGCGAGAGAGATTTTAAAAGAGAGTGAACTCATATATATAGCGTATTCGATTTACTGACTCGACCCGACTCCGAGTCAACAGTCTGGTCTTTTCAGCTGCATTTCTTACACAATTTAGCTCTTCTTTTGCAGCTAAACAGAACAGACTGTTGACTCGGAGTCGGGTCGAGTCAGTAAATCGAATACGCTGTTACACTTGAGTATCGCTACATCTCGAAAAAGAACAGAGTACATGACGTCATTTCGTTACAGTGTACACAAAAAAAACGATGTAGTGTACACTTCTTGAACTAGTGCAAGCAGTGCGGAGAAAAAAAATGTTCCAACATACTCCTACCATAGCTCCTACTCACTCCAACGCGCTTGATAGAGTGAGTAGGAGGTATGGTAGGAGTATGTTGGAACATGTTGGAGCATGCGACGCGAACAAACCTTAGGATATGAGCACAAGGATAGGCATTGCCTATAGGTCCGTCTACAATACACGGAGTAAGAAGTAAGAGTAAGAAATTGACCAATCACAGTCGATTATTCTTCTCGCATTCGACTGTGATTGGTCAATTTCTTACTCTTACTTCTTACTCCGTGTATTGTAGACGGGCCTTTACAATACACCACTGCGCTCGGCTG